GGACTACCTCTAAGGTTCTAGAAAAGATAATTTCCAATAGTCTTATGTTTTGCTATGACCATAAACAAAAGTCAAGGTCAAACATTGTCATTTGTTGGATTATTTTTAACCAAGTCAGTGTTCACTCATGGTCAGCTTTATGTTGTTGTTTCGCGAGTGAAGACAAAGATAGGATTAAAAATATTAGTCTTAGATGACAATGGAAATCCTTGCAGCTATACAAAAAATGTTGTATACCCTGAAATCTTTCAAAAAATTTGGTATTAAAGCAAACTTTGTTGTGTGTAGATTCAATTCCTCAAATATTATTCTTTTTACTTTGCCTTTCTTTTGTGTGTTATTATATATAATGCATGAGGTATATTTCCTTTATTCTGGAAAAAAATATTGCATTAAATAAATTTAGAATCGACAAGATATTCGTCCGAACCCGTGCATTGCACGGGTAGGAATACTAGTATAATTTTTAGATGGGAGTGCAGGATAAAATATTTGTGAGTAAATAGCGAGTTTGGTTTGGACGGTTAGGAAATCATTTGTTTTTTAGAATGTTGAAAAGGCATGTCGAGTTTAAAAATCGAAAGATTCCCATACACACGAAAAATGTGCCCATCTCGTTTTCATGGGGACACAAATTTTAAAAAAATGCTCGGTGCCGATTACTGGCTCTGTCGATTTTTCATTGGTCAACGTGCAAAATTCCGTAATTTTTAAAGTAATTTTATTTATAAAATAGTACTAGTAAATGGATAAAAAAATAAAAATTTAGTTTTTAAAAATTATATAAAAAATTCTATAAAGTAAGCCGTGATTAGAATATTTTATTTTATTAGATTACAATAAAAATATGCAAATAAATAAGAGTTATTCAGAGACGGTAATAGAGAACATGTAACTCTTTTAGGGATGGAGCCATGGAGGGAGCATTACATTTGTTCCATACAATTTCTTACTTGATTTTTTTGGTCAAAATATAATATATTTTAATTACAAGTTAAATATAATTTCAAATAAATACATGTTATAAGAATTTAATATATCAAGACAACATCTAAAAATTAATTCAATTTTATAAAATTTACATTAGACCTAAATATTTTTTTTAAAATTTATGGTCAAAAGGTAAAAAATATAACCCAAAAAAAGTCAAGAAATAAGAATTTTATGGGAGAAGAAACAAATTTGAAGTGGGGAAGTAGGTGTCATTTCACCCCACAATGCAACTAGTGTAGGGAGTATTTTTGTTGTTCGTTTTACAGAAATCAACTTTTTTTGTTCTTTTGCCAGTGAGGTTTTAGGGTATTTTATTTTAATTTATTTCATTTTCTGTTGGGAACAATTTTGTTATAGTATATGTGGGGTTGGGTGAAGTGGCCGGCCTCAACTAATCCCATAATAAGCGTATTAATTACAAGGTGGCAATGTGGGCATGCAGCTAAGCAGTAGTACTATTTAAAAACATTGTTACTTGTCCCTTATTAAAATTTTAATGTTTGCATGCAATTTAAAAAGGGGAGATTTACTTTAATAGTATTAAAATATAATGACATTTTCTAAATAGCATCACATATGTTTTTTTCCAATGTGATACTTTTAGTCATTATCGATTAGTCATTATTCAAGTAAATGTTTGCTATCACTGGACATTATTAAGTGCTATTTAGAAAATAAAATAGTTTAAGTGTTATTTAGGAAAATGACTTAAGTTTTAGTGATATTTAGTACATATATTTCTTTTAAAAATAGTTAGCTTTATCCAATCCTCTCGAGTATTTTTTTTGGCAAGAAGAAATACTTTTTAATACTCCGAATATATTATGTTACTCCGTAATAGTTTAATTAATCCACATTTTAATATTCATTTATTGACAATGATATATAATAATAACAACAACAACAATATAATAACGGCAGGTTCAATTGACATAGGAGTATGATGACACTCGGTGTCACACTAAGTTTTTGGAGCACCTCCCATGCTTTATTCGCAATAGCCACAAATTTGGAGAAGGCAAGAAGGGGGGCTAAGATGGGAGTTTAGAGGGAGTAAAACTAAATATTTTGCAAACAAAGTACTGAATGTGTTCTAAATATATGGTCGAGTGTCATCCGTTGACACTGAATACCAATGTCAATTGACCGATATAATAATGCTAGTAGAAATGTTTTAGATATAATTGAAACAAAAAGAATAGAGTACAGAGTAACTAAAAACTTTTGAATGAACAAAAAGAAGAGTAAAAATTCAGTATTAAGAGTAATTCCAATGGGTCTTGTATATTGTAAAAAATACATTATATACAAGATCCTATAGCAAAATTGTCACTCCAATGGGTAGGGCAAAATTAACACTATATTGTAAAAAGCAAGTCTCACCTTGTATTAATACACTACATGCTTTTCCCATCTTGTAAATTCATTTTTTCTATATATTTATTAAAATACATTTATATTTCTTGTTTTTTATAAAAATACTCAATATATGTATAGTTTGAAATGCATGTACCATAAAAATTTTAAAAATATAAATATTATTACAAATAAATATTTTAAAAATAATAATATATATAAAAAAGTGTATTATTTAAGAGAAATGATTGGAGGAGCTATGAAAAAATGGAATGCTAAAACACATTTGGTAGTGTAAAATACAATATACACTATCAAAATTTACCATACCCATTAGAGATGCTCTAAGAAGAATGAAGCCTAAATTAGTTCCCAATTTTCAACTATCCCACTATTTTGATTTATCTAAATTTACAACATCAAAATGACTCACTAATAAGTGGATAAAAAGATTGATCGAAAAATTTTGAAAAAGTAAGGTTGATTATTATGTCAAATTTAAAAGTGTCTTTTAGGCGAGAAAAATCTAAAATAATACTCCGTCACCTTTTGGCTAGGAACGGTTTTTGATCGGGTTGAATTTCACTCTCATCCATCCATCCACTCCATATTTATCAATCTATTCATCCATCATTCGTTATATATCACTCATTACATGATTCATCCATCACCCACGGATGAATCGGGCCAGGTGAAACGCGTGATATAAGTTATCGGTTTGGTAGAAAAATTGGGAGTAATAAGTTGTCGGTTTGGTACTTTAATGTGATATAAATAAGGAAAAATCAAACGAATTCCTTCGAAAATATGACTTGTTACAAAAGTACTCTTAGATTTGATAATTAACATATTTGCTCTCAACTTTTTTTAATATTTTCACAACGTTACTCGCTTACTCGGTCAGCTCATACGTGAAAATTTTAACTTGTATTTTGAATACTCATGTTTTTGTTTTAAATTTATTAAAAACGGGCCAGGAGTACGTCCTAGGCCTTTTAACTATTTTAAAAAATTAAATTATATTTAAATATTTTTGCCACAGGTAATTACTCCCTTTACATAATTTTCAATTAAACAATTTTGTTTAAAAAAATCCTGTGGATGATCAAACCAAAATTATTAATTTATAATAGATAGAGTATTACTCCCTCCGTCCCATTTTATAACGCCTGTTTCGGTTTACGATGTTTGACTGAAATTATTTTCAAATTATTTTTTGTGACAAATGGTATATAGTTAAAAAATAAAAATTACATATTAAAATACTACATCAAAAGATCTACAAAACTAGTAGTGACAATAATACTTTATTTTATCAAATTGCTAATGAAAATAGAGAAAGAAAGTGAAAGAAGTTTGACCCTATGAATAGTGAACATGCATTATAATTTGGGACGGATGGAGTAATAAACACTTTGAATTTATGAGGGAAATCAAATGAAAAAATTAAGATTATGAAGGAGAAAAAAAATGCAATACGAGAGGAACAAAAATATAAAGGAGAATTTACTTAACTGACACTAAAACATAATGACTTTCCCTAAATAGTATCACATGTGTTTTTTTTCCAATGTAGCATTGTTAGTCATTATCCATTAGTCATTATTCAAGTAAATGTTCGCCATAACTGGACATTATAGATATTATTAAGAGCTATTTAGAGAATAAAATAGTTTAAGTGCTATTTAGATAAATGATTTAAATTTTAGTACTCGTACTATTTAATGCAAATATTTCAAATATAAACACATATGAAGAAGAATGAGCCAATGTTTTCGTCTCTACTCTCTAGTCTTCATTTACTGATTTAAATTGATGTGATATGAGTACATACTCCCTCCGTCCCCCTGTATTTGTCCACTTTCATTTTTACACACCATCCAATGCACTTCTTTAATCCATTTTATCTTGTAGTTTGTATATTAAAAAATTATAAAAATTATATATTAATAATCTATATGTTAAGACAAATCAAACAAGATTACACATGACTATATTTAGACTTACACATTGAGAGAATTTGATGAGTTAAAGTGCTTAAATGAACAGTTTCAAAAGTCAAATATGGACAAATATAGGGGGACAGAGGGAGTATGAGACAAACAAAAATGACAAGTGTATATAGAAATAAGTTGGATTGAGAGAGTAGTTTCCAAGTTTATTCAAATTCAAAAGAATTGTTCCCTACTTGATTGATCCGTTTACCCTATATAGTGTATAACCCGACTTGATTGATCCATTTACCCTATATATAACATTTGTTCTCTTCGCTTGATCTGATTAAAATAAGATCTGATCCGATTGTAATTTTATTTAAAACTATTTTTAATATAACCGAATTCTAATAAGAATAAGTAATAAAAATAAGTTGAGGAGAATAAGCTCATATTCTAAAGACCAAATTTACCACTCCCTCCATCTTAAAAAGAAAGATACACCTCATTATTCAAAAATCACGAGAATTTTTATATATTTGTATGTTTTCATCATAAATATTCTTATCTCTTTTTTGTTTTGGAAAACTTTTAACATAATTTTTAAATATATAAATTTTATTTTTATTTTTCTATAGCAATTTTTAAATAGAATAAATAAAAATAATTTAGAATTTCATTTTGTCTTAGGTAATGTTGCAAATATTTTGAGAGGGAGCAAATATTTTTTTCAAAAAAAAAAAACTCCTCTATAAAAGCACATAAACCATGTTCAAACAGATAAGAAACCAGCCTGCAGCTTTCTTTTGATAGAGTGAAAAAAATGGCAGAGAACAGAGAGGAAGATGTGAGGGTGGGAGCGAACAAGTTCAGAGAGACACAACCGCTGGGCACGGCGGCGCAGAGCGACAAGGACTACAAGGAGCCACCGCCGGCACCCTTATTCGAGCCGGGCGAGCTCACCTCCTGGTCCTTCTACCGGGCCGGGATCGCCGAGTTCATGGCCACCTTCTTGTTCCTCTACATCACAATCTTGACCGTCATGGGCGTCAAGCGCTCCGACGGCGGCCTCTGCAAGTCCGTCGGGATTCAGGGCATCGCCTGGTCCTTCGGCGGCATGATCTTCGCCCTCGTCTACTGCACCGCCGGCATCTCCGGCGGCCACATAAACCCCGCCGTGACTTTCGGGCTGTTCCTCGCGAGGAAGCTGTCCCTGACGAGGGCGGTTTTCTACATGGTGATGCAGTGCCTGGGCGCGATCTGCGGCGCCGGCGTGGTGAAGGGGTTCATGAAGGGGCCGTACGAGGTGAGCGGCGGCGGCGCTAACATGGTGGGCTCCGGTTACAGCAGGGGAGACGGCCTTGGGGCGGAGATTGTCGGGACTTTTGTCCTCGTCTACACCGTCTTCTCCGCCACCGACGCCAAGAGAAGCGCCAGGGACTCTCATGTTCCGGTAAGTCCGTCGATCTCTCGCCGCCGGCAATTACTACTCCCTACCTTATTAGGCGCGCCCGCTTGACCATAAGTACCAATTATTGATCAATCTAACACAGTCTAGCTACTTTTAAAATTTTAAACACAGTCTAGCTACTTTTAAAATTTTAAACTTTGACTTTTTTTAGTCAAAGTTTCTAAACTTTGATTATGATATGTAGAAAAAATATATCGTATTACGATATAATTTTAATATGAATATATTCATTTGAAAATATAATTTTCAAATATTAAATTTTTAGAAAATATATCCATGTATAAATAAAGATATTAGTGGTCAAAGTTCAATTTTGGAGACCGTAAAAAGTCAAATAGAAGGAATATTTTCGGACGGAGGGAGTAATACTCTTAGATATACTCCGTATAAGCTTATTTACGAGTACTCCTTCCGTCCTATAATGTTCTTCCCGGTTCATTTTACGAGGTTTGACCGACTTTATTTTCAATTCAATTTATTTAATTGTAGGTGTAAAATTAAAAAATAAAATTTATATATTTAAAAACTACATCAAAAGCTCTACAAAACAAGTGGTGACAAGACTATATTATTTTATCTAATATCTAATGAAAATAGGTAAAAGAAGTGATTAAAGTTTGACCGGATAAAAAGTGAGTGGGAAGAACATTTTAGGAGTAGTTTTTTTGTTTTATACTCCGTTCCATAAAACTCTTCTCCTTTGTTTTTTTTTCAATTCCCTAAAACACTTCCATTTTCTATTAAAAAACTACTTTTACCCATATTTTTTCATACCCTACCTATCACATCATATTTTTTTTACTAATAACTAAATTATCACATCTTACTTTTACTCATCACATTAGAGGCAAAATTGGAAAATCAACTAAGATTACACTTTCCTTATTTTGCCTTAAAGTCAAAACAAGAACCGTTTTAAAAAACAAATGGAGTATTTCATAGGCGAACTTATAAATTAAAAAGTGTTTATTGACAATAAACTAATAAGCACATGTACAGGAAACACCCTCACCCTCATAGTCACCCTATTATAGTGGGTATATCTTTGTACTTATAAAAGCTAGTTAAAATTGTTTATAAGCAGTTTTAACTTGTAAGTTTTAAGTCAGATGATGATGTATTTTTTTGTATTAATAAATTAATTTATAAGCTGTTTATAAATAAAAAAAATAAGTAGTTCTTGCGTACTTATTTTTTTTCAATTTTTTCGTTTTTCCATTTTGTTTAGATTATTTACAAAAGATGCCTCTCACCTATTATGAATATCCCATAATGACTTATATACTCCCTCCGTCCCAAAAAGATTGATACATATTGACTTTTTGGAAAATTAAGGGAGGGATATTTTGGTGTTAACTTTCCAAAAATACCCTTGATGTGATGGGTAAAAGTAGGATGTGATGGGTAGATTATTAGGAAAAAGGTATGATGTGATAGGTAGGATATGAAAAAGTAAGGGGTAAAAGTAGTTTTTTAATAGAAATGTTATGGAATTTATGGGACACAGTTTTTTCGAAACGTGTCGGATTTTTTGGGACGGAAGGAGTATCATTTAACTCATTTTACCTAGATAAAAAGTAAGCAACTTATGACTTAGCAGTCACGAAGTCTAGGCGGCTTTGGGTATCGGCTCAAAAGAGTGAAGAATGGGAAACAAAAGAAATATATTCCTCCCTCATTTTCATATATACTCCCTTCGTCCCACTATATTTGTCCACTTTCATTTTTGCACACCATCCAATGCACTTCTTTAATCCATTTTATCTTGTAATTTATATATTAAAAAATTATAGAAATTATATATTAATAATCTATATGTTAAGACAAATCAAACAAGATCACACATGACTATATTTAGCCTTACAAATTGAGAGAATTTGATCAGTCAAAGTGCTTAGATGAACAGTTCCAAAAGTCAAAAGTGGACGAATATAGTGGGACGGAGGTAGTATTCGATATCAAATTATCAATACACAAACAGGTGGAACTTGGACTAGTGTTTTGACTTTTGGTAATTGGTACTCAATACTCCGCAGATATTTTCGGAAATAACGGAGTAAAAACTCCCCGTATGTAAGGGTACTTAGGTAACTTCCCATCCTTCATTGGTAGAAGCTAAGTGAGAGGAAGTATATTGGTAGTGGCAAAATGTTCTTTTGATAATTCTAGAGTTAATCCTAATCATAATAATTAACAAACCCACCTCTATCACTGCCAGCCAAGACCACCCATTCCCAATCACACTTGGTTGCCACATGTTATCCATCATACCTTCAAATTCTCTTAGAAGTTATCGGTGGGGGTTGCGTACTTGACAAAGACATTGAGTGCTAAAGGGGTTAGATCCGTCTAAGTTACCGTCTGGCCGGGTCTAAGGGACCCTCGTGAATGCGGCTTATCCTTTTTTTTGAAGTTAAATGAGAAACTTTTTAAAAAAACCGAGGGAGTATGTGACATCAAAAACGTTAAAAGTACACCAAAAATATACTCCGTATCATATTTGTACACTACCAAGCTTCATATCACAGACTTCTTGATGTGGGTAAGAAGAGAAAAATTAAATTAGAAGTATGTGAATAGAGAAGCCTATTAATACACAAATGGGATATAGTATTAGTGTACTCCACATTACTTAGGTGACACAGAGGAATTGTACACGTTTTTAGTGCAAAAAAAAAGTGATGTACACGTTTTTGGTGTACAATTATTTTACCGGAATTGGACGAGAGGGAGCAAGTAATATAATGCCAACTAGCAATGATAGAGATTGAGTAAATGGGCCCCATAGCTGGTGGGACCATACTTGTTGGTGTTAGTCCGCCTGCCACTCAAGGTTGACAACGCCATTATCCTACCCCATTGAAAAACATGTACCCACTATTTTACCTTTTAGGGCTATGCTACACTTACACCGAAAAAATGTATCCCATTTACACACCGACATAAGTGTTGGTGCGTTAACAAAAATTTACACGGACACAAAATGTTGGTGCGTTAAAAAAAATTTACACGGACACAAAATGTCGGTGCAAACCTGCAGTGTACAAAATGGGGTACAAAAGTTTGGGCTACAAATCGATTTATCCTACCTTTTATCATTAACCAATCAACCATGTTAGGTTACACCAAAAGTGTACCCCTAAAAGTACACTGACATTTTAACGATTCACACAGGTAGAAAGTGTTAGTTCAATTAAAAAAAATTAAACGACATTTTTTGCCAATGTAAATCATCACACTAACAGCACACTGCACACTAGAACAAAATGTCGGTGTATGCCTTTGTAATTATACTAAGCCTATGACCTCTAAACTTTATTCTCTGACACATTAAAGTCCAATTTGTCTACATTCTTATCGATCACGAATAAAAATATGAATGGGTTTTACAAATTTGCCGTGAATTACTGCAGATATTGGCGCCACTTCCGATCGGGTTTGCGGTGTTCTTGGTGCACTTGGCGACGATTCCGATCACGGGGACGGGGATAAACCCGGCGAGGAGCCTGGGAGCGGCGATTATCTACAACAGGGACGAGGCTTGGGACGACCACTGGATCTTCTGGGTGGGGCCCTTCATCGGCGCCGCTCTTGCCGCTCTCTACCACCAGATCATCATCAGAGCCATCCCCTTCAAGTCCAGGCCTTAACTTCTTCATTCAATCAATCATTAAACCCTATTCCATACTTCCACCATCTTGCATATATAGCGGCTTCTCCTTATTTATATGTATACTTCATTAATGCTTCATTTTCATCTTCTTTTTCCCTGTGAGTTGAGATGTTTGGTTTTTTGTAAAAAAAAACAATGTACCCTTTCTTCTTCTTCTTCTTTAATCTTTCTTGTGTAAGGGATTGTTTGTGTTCCCTATTCTCACTTCTCAGTTGTGTGTAATATTATTAATGTTATGAGTTCATGTTGTATGGAGAGTATCCATTTCTAATTGCTCCCTTCCAATTCAGTTTTTTGATGTATTTATAGTCAATTTTCTAATTGCATTTTCTTTCTTAAAAATTTGATTTTTTAGTAAAATTGGGTGACATTTGACCATATATTAATCATATTTCTCCTTTTTCAAGAAAAAAAATCTTTATAGTTTAAATGTTAAGCTAAACTGTTGTGCGCTTTAGTCATTTATATACGTGGTTTAAATAAATGAATAGTATGAAGTATTAAAATTTGATATATCAAAACTATATTTAAACATGAATTCAACTATATTAAATTAATATTATACCTAAATACTTTTTGCATAATTAAGTAGTCAACGTTTGTAAATTTAAAAAAAAGAAAACTGTAAAGATTTTTTTTGAAATGAAAAATATATTAACCCGTATTAGGGCCGTATAGTAATGAAAATTTCGGGGTGGATAGGCCCCCAGTTCTATCAAGGCTCAGCCCAATTCACTAAAATTCCATTAAGTCCTTAGCCCAATTAGAAATCCAACTAAAAATATCGAGCAAAAACAGCAAACTTTGGCCTTTTGCGCCGCCAGCAAGCGACGCTCATGTTATTCATGGAAGTAATCAGATAAATCTTTAATTTTCTTATCTTCTTGTTCTTATATATAACTTTTGATTTGTTTATGGAAAAAAATCACACCAATGCTCTCAAATTTAGTTTCAGGCTTAATTACGTGGAATTATTTTGGCTTTTGTTATAATGAATGTCGACCACTTTTCCATATAAAGTTTGGATCTAACGCGCCATTGCAAGGCCTAGGCACAATCATCCTTCAAAATAGCAATTATCGGAGACAGGAGACATTTAAATAAAAATAAGTCTCACAGGAATTTTGTCAAACACGTGGTATACAATAACATATATTGATAGAAATAAATAAATAAGTAAAAACTATATTTGGCAAATGTCACAGGTAGAGAATTTGTCGGAGAGAATCTACAGAAAAAACCCATCACACTGAATATTCATCATCATCATCATCATCATCATCATCGTAATGTTCTTTTTCTTCATCTTCTTCTTCCTTTCCTTCTCTTCTTATTTGAAATGGAGCAATATATAATGGTACTGGTATATAGTATTAAAACATCAAGTTGGGACTTGGGAGTGACTGCAATTGCAATCATTTGCTCACACTTGGCTCCGCCCCTGCATCACGTGTCGGGATATAACGACATGTTGCGATACATGATAAAATTTGATTTCGAGTCCATGAGCTGCAACTCGGTCCATACAAACTGACATTAGGCCTTAGCCCATGTGTTTCTTCGAGTTGACCCCAAACAACGAAAACAACTCAGTTGGATCCCACGATTGCAGGGTCTGGGGGGCGTGTGTATGCCAACCTTGCCTCAACTAAAAGTAAAGAGGCTGTTTCCAAGAGACATCCGGCTCATGCAGCACCAATAGTAAAAGATCGCAAACGCACGTAGAGTAGAGAGAGCACAAAAAGACAAAGAGTAGACTAAAGTTGACGAAGGAAAGCACTACAAACAGATAAGACCGAGCATACAACAGAGAATGCATCAACTATCGCCCGTCTTTCAAACACTATTTCCTAAACTCAATGTCCGGGTCTAAATGGATTCGCCCCGTTTACAATGGATTCAACCCGTTTAATGTGCGGGTTCCTGAATTACTCGCCCACTTTTGTCATGAGCAGAACTATATAAATGTCTGCAACTAATTGTGACTACACTCATTATGTATAGATCCAACAATATAATGTTTTTAAATAACCGATTTTAGGGGTTTCCATGTGTTAGGTGAGGGTTTGCATGCTTTAATGGCTTTGTATGTGCTCTAATAATTTGACCTTTTTTCAATAAGAGCAACTATGACCGGTCATCTAATGTTTCTTGGCAAAACAACTAAACAACAACAAATTCAATAAATCTTATATAGTCTACCTAAAAAGTAGAAATGTCATTTCTCTAGGTTCTGAAAATTAAAATTTTCAAAAAAAAGGACGAATTATATCCCCAAGGAATCTTCAAAGCCAGCTGGACGGTCACCTGAAAAAAATAAATTAAATTTTAATTACATACTAATGGCAAAAGATGGAACTTGCACAAGGTAATTGGAGAGGCCAAATTTTTAAACTTCTAAACGTTGAGGGGTGTATGATAAGCCAATTAAAGAACAAAGTTCACTATTAAAGAAACCTCCCAATGGTTTTTGAAACTTATTAGTTCAAGAGAAATATATAAAACACATTTCCTTAATAAACTAATTACAGCGGATGAAGAATTACAAATAAAAGTATAGTGATCTTTCTCTTTGAATTTGTGACAATTAAGGACATTTTTAACGTTATGGAAATTAAAATAAGGACACTATATAGATATAACTTCAAAAAAATAAATAAAATATAAACATGACACCAATGGACCGCGTCGTCAAAACGTACAATGAGGCCGGTATATTTGTATGCGTGTGCGCGTATAATAAGTTCTTCTTCCATTGACTGTCACACCTTTGACTTTGTCAATCACATTCTATTCGGACGGAATTTTGGCCAAGATTGGCGCCAAGTCTCGGGGGAAGACGTTGACAAGGAGGCCATACTTCATGAAGAGCGTGAGTGACATCTTCTGCTCCACCTTGTGTCCCGGAGCCACCTTGAGCTGGTGGCGGAGCAGCACCGCCGCCGCTATCGATTTCATTTGCAGGTACGCCAGGTTCTTGCCCAGGCATATCCTCGGCCCCGCGTTGAACGCCACGAACCTGAACTGGTCGTCGAGTTCGAACTTCTTCCCGTCTCCCGATAGCCACCTCTCGGGCTTGAACTCGAGGCAGTCTTCTCCCCATATGAACTTCATCCGCCCGCTCGAGTATATCGAGTAAGTGATGTTCGAGCCCGCGGGAACGAACGTCCCGTCTGGCAACACGTCGTCGTGGATGACGTGTTTCGAGTCCTCTGGCACTGAAGGGTAGAGACGGAGGGTTTCTGATAAGGCCGCTTTTAGGTATATTAGCCGGTCAACTTCATCGAAGACCAACGGGTCTTCGAGCCACTTGGAGGTGTCCGAGCCACGCGTCTCCGTTAAGACGGAGCAAAGCTCGATGAGGATTTTCTCTTCAACCCTCGGGTTGAGGCTGACTAGCCAGAAGAACCAGCTCAGCGCCACGGATGAGGTGTCGCGTCCCGCGAGGATGAAGTTGAGTGCCACGTGTTGTAGGAACTTGTCGCTGTATGACTCCCTCTTCTTAATCATGAACCTGGAGAGCAGGTCGTCATGTAATTGGGACCCGGTCTCTGGGTTCTGGCTCACCAGCTCAGTCTTACGTGCGGTGATGACATCTGTCAAGTATTGGTCAACATGTTTCAGACTCTTGCTCAAGTCGACCTCCATTCCAAGCCCGAGCCACTTCTTTAGCTTCCAGATGAACTCTGGAAGGATGAAGCGCTGTAGTGTGGCTTCAGTCGCTCGGTCAAACGCCAAAGAGAAGCTGTTCTCCGGAAGGCCCGGAGCCAGGGTCTGCGGGTCCTTCCCGAAGGCCAACCCACAAATGTTGTCAAATGTGATACGCAAAAGGAGGTCCTGGAGATCGACCGCCTTCCCCTCGAGCTGAGCGGTCTCCAACATGGGACAGAACCGCATCTTGATGGCGCGGCTGACCCACCTAGACATTGCCTGACGCAGCGTCCTTGTGGTGAATTCCAGCGCAGCTGTCCTGCGCTGGAACAGCCACGTGTCCCCATCGGAGTTGAAAATGCCTTCGCCGAGGAGATCATGGAAAGCCGCTTGCCACGTGGGGCCCTTGGGGTAATTGTCGAACCTAACCTTCAAAATGTGCTCTAAGTTCTTGGGGTGGCACGTGACGGTGACGAGTCCTTGCTTCCGGGCAAGGAAGGGAACTGCGAAAATGCATGTCTGGTACGTGCCGCCGCAGGCGTGTAGGTTGTCGGCGATCCAGTCGTGCATACGGTTGCCGTTGGCTACAAGGGCCGGCAAGCTGCCGATAACGGGCCACACTCTCGGGCCCTTGATCGATACGGCGACGACCGATCGGATGAACCAGACGATGTAAATTGCTACAAATGAAAGTATCAAAATGGACGTGGATAGGTCCATTATTCTACAGAATTTAAGTTATAGCACCCCGTGAAAATTGGTTAGAGGACAAATAAGAAGAAGAGAGGGATATGCATGTGAATTATGGTGGTGATTGGTGAACGATAGTTATTGTATGTGTGACTATATATAAGGGAAGATACAAATGGAAATTGGAGGCCCGCAATAAAGGTTTTGGTTTGTTGGCATGTGCCTACTTATAGAGCACATTATTTATCAAAAAACAAATTATTTTGTTTGTATGTTTTGATTTAACTGGACGAATTTTGATCATTAGTTATATTATATTTGTACAAAATATTTTTAATTAGATTTATCTTGTATTACACTTCTAGTTTTTTTTAACTTATTACTCCCTCCGTCTGAAATTGAATTTCCCATCCCGATTTACCATACGAGACTTGAACGATTTTATTTTTGGTTTAATTTATTTGACTGTAAATTTTAAAAAAATCAAAACTAGAGTGTAAAAAATACATAAAAATAAACACAAAAAACCACTTTTACCCATACTTTTCCATATCCTACCTATCACATCATACTTTTTCACTAATAACCAAACTATCACATCTTACTTTTACTCATCACATCAGAGCAAAATTGGAAAATCAACCAAAATTACATTTTCCTTATTTTGGCCTAATATCAAAATAGGAATGGTTTTAAGGAAGGGAGGGAGTAATAGACAAGCAAAGTGACACAAATGAAGTAAATGAGTACACACTTGACATATGATTATATATATTCATTCAACATTTCTTAAAACCCTTCCTCTTTCATTTTTTTGTTTTTCTTAAAACACTTCTTTTTTCTATTAAAAAAACTACTTTTACCCCTACTTTTTCATACCCTACCTATCACATCATACTTTTTCACTAATAACTAAACTATCACATTTTACTTTTACCCTTCACACCAGGGGCAAAATTGGAAAGTCAACTAAAATTACACTTTTCTTATTTTTTCCCAAAGTCAAAACAAGAACAGTTTTGAGAAACAGAGGGAGTATATCATCATACCACAATAACATCAAAGATGACACTACTATTGTCTTAATATAACAAATGATAATATCTCATTTACAATTCTGTTCTCTGTAAAAAAAATCTAAAAATCATCTATTCATGATGCATTAAAAAAGATAAATACATGACGTGTCTACATTTGTTGAGTGCTCCTATAGTGGACCTAATGTTCGCGCAATATTTGTGGACCTTGTTTCCAAAAAAAATTATTTTTATCTTGTCATTTTAAAAAATAAAAAAAGTGCATCCCACTATTAAACATCTGCTTATCTCGCTCCATTTGTTATGGAGTACTATGCTTAAATTAAATGAAAATTTTGCCATATAAATTTATTTGTGGTTTACCGAAATCTACATTATTTATACCTTACTTGAAAATATAACTTTTCATTAACTAAAGGCATCATATATATGATGAATTCAACCTTTTTGGTCACACACCACTTAATTTTGTATGAAAAATATTGGCGGGATTTATTACAATAATGAATACCCTATAAAAATTTACCATTAAACATGTAATTTGTCTTTGTATGATTTGGTTCTTCTTTAAAAATTACACTGAATAGGACTAAAACATACTTCCTCCGTCTCACAAAACCCTTCTCTTTTCCTTTTTCATCCGTCCCAAAAAACTCTTCTCTTTTCTATTATATTAAAAAGTCACTTTTACCCTTATTAATTCTTAACATATATATTATCACATCATATTTTTTCTCTATTAATCTACACATCACATCCTACTTTATCCATCACATCAAAGGGTATTTTTAGAAAGTCAACACCAAAATACGCTCCCTTAAATCTTTTAAAATTTCAAATGAGGTCTTTTATTAATTATCGTCTAAAAAATGTTGTTTTGAGATAGACTTTTGGTTTGTTGGTTGTATTCGTACTTTGAGGTGGTAATAAAGTTGTGCTTTTTGTTCAAAAAAAAAAGTCAAAATGGAAAGGTTTTTGCGGGACGGAGGGAGTAAGTCATTTCTCAATGTAGAACTTAAACTTTTTTATTCTCTAAATAAGACTTTATAATATCTAGTCGATGGAACAATGTCCAGTGATGGTGAACATTTATTTGAATAATGACTAATGGTCATCCTATTTAGGTAAAATTTCTCCTGGTTCTTTAGGTATGTACTCGTATTCACCATATATATTACCAAGAGTCCGGTTCGAGTGAGAATGATCCTTATTCCGAGAAATGAGACTGATGTATTTTTTATTTTTATGTCGTCACACTGTTTTTACATTGTGATAGTGCATTTTTGACACTGAGAATAAAGTTCAACTAGCTTGTTTATCATAATACCACCGTGTTTTTTCAGTTTTTTTTTTAAAAATTTTTTCTATGATTCAATGAGAAAAGGCTCTATAGTAGCCTTATATAAGTGTGATGGAAGTGGATGGGTTGGGTGCTCCCCAACGATATATTCCAGCCGGTATTAATTGTTTGTTGAATTAAGGGTAGCCTACAGCTACCTCTTTATTATTGTCAATACTAATAATTCTTCTCTTCCCTTTCACACACACAACTCTCCATTATTATCTTTAATTAATACACGTAGAGAAAAAAAATCACATTATTAATATGCACAAGGAATTTCAATGTTCGTTGGATCTCATGCAAAGAATTTGAAGATTCGATTTCATGAAGTTGAAAAAATATGTTGGAAAAAATTAAATAAAATGGTCTCTTAGAACTAGACCCGATCAAATAAAAATAAGAACAACAACAACAACAACAACAAAATACTCCATCTGGTCTTAAAAAACTCTTCTGTTTTAATTATTTTAGTCAATCAATGACAACCTTTGACCTTTAATTTTAAGAAAATTATATTTAATTGAAATATAAACTTAATATAATTAGGTTCATTTTAAGAAATAGTTTTGATATGTCAAATTTTGGTATCGTTCATTTATTTAGATTGTGTTTAATTTATGGTCAACTAGTGTTACTGTTTGACTAAAAAAAGTCAAAACGGAAAAGATTTTTAGGACCGAAGGGAGTCATATTTATTTTTATGCAAACACATGTATATATACTCCTAAAGTGAAACAAATTTAAATAAAATAAGTCAAACAAATATATTTTATTATTGTTCATTGCTCATTAATAATATTAATTTTTAAATAAACAATAGTGATATATGTTTTACATATTACACACATTAGTCTTTTCTTTGATATATAGTGTATTACTCATAATTATTTTTATCAGACATCGATCATATAAAGACATTATTTTATTTTAAAAATTATTTTCAGTTATTTACAAAATATTTGGATGCAAGCATGTTCGACCTGAAGCTCGTGGGTACTCGTACATTCTAAGCTTGAGCTTCCATTGTTATGCCCGCTATGCGAATCAGGTCAGGTATGAATCTACGGAGTATAACGTCTTTGCCCCCCGATCCACACTTTGATCAAGTCTAGTTTGAACATCAACCCATTCACGGCCCAATTAATAAGATAAGCCCTTATCATGAATGAATCAAAAGGTTAAATAAATAATCCATTTGGATGCTCCGATAAGGATCGGTTTAGGCATATGGTGTAGAATGCAGCTAGCCCATTTAGGATTAATTCTAGTATTGAGGAAGAATCAAATCTCGATGATAAGAAGTCCTTTGATATGGTGAGAGTCACTAACACACACACACACACTAGTGGTCGTCTCGGTTCTCTAAGATGTCTCAACTTTTTGATGTTGCATGCTTGCTAAACATAAAATCTGACCATAATCTATCAGAGAGATGTTACAACACAATATGTTAGTTATTCAAAGACGCTTTCCTAGAAGACGACTCAATTGTTAATAGATAAGATATTGACTAAGCCTTGTTGTAAGGCAACAGACAAGAGGCGATATGTTGTGAAACAACCCATATAAAAAGAAGGAAGATTATTATGAATCGAATGCAATATTTTTTTGTCTTCACGGGTTGCTTGGAAGATACTTAGGGAGAACGTTAAGTTTAAAATGTACTGCAATGTAATACCCAGTGATTCTTTGTGCACAATGGATACAGAACAATCTTCTTAAAGATCAGTATAAATTTTATATCGTGACATAATTGTGTACTACTCGGCCGAACCGGTTATGAGGGTGTGGGACGTCTAGAGTGGAAGCCTCACCCCCTACAAAACCCATTATTCATACACTACTAGGTATTGATTAGCACGCATAGATAGATCAAGAGTAGATCAGAGTAGTGTCAATTACATCGTGTTAAAGTATATCATCCAACGGCGAAAACACATCTGTTCATCCCCAATTCACTATACATCCGACTAGTTGAGTGGTGAACGGCGGCAGTACATATCCTGATGGATATCAGGTTAATCGCTGGACTAGGAAGGCCCAAAGAGTCCCACTACTGCGGCCCAAGAAGAATAAGGGGGCTCGACGCTCACGAGTAAAGTATGGTGGGCCGGATAATATGATTAAGTGACGGGCTGAGCCCAGCCCACTAATCAGATCGCACGATACGGGGAAGGGCAATCTCACTGATTGTGGTTAATTGATGACTGATTACTCGCGCATGATTAACGCATGATTAGTCAATTAGCCCGATATTGTAGCGCACAAATTACACACCAAACATACAATGATGTTAGACTATAAATAGGAGACGTTTTCCTACATTGGTCATGTTTGGTAAATGGCAGTTCACCTAGCATTTGGCATCTTTGACCATAAACGGTGGATTAGACTAGTCAAACCGCCAAATTAGTTGTTTGGATAATGGCTTTTAGAATTGGCATTTAGAACCGAACAACCAAAAAATGAAATGTCAACCCTAGCAGCATTTCAATTAGCAGTTCAACCCTTTTCCGTTTTCTACCCTTTTCTCGATGTTGCGTCTCCCTGCGATCCTCACGGCACCGGAATTGGTGTAGAGTATTTTTATATATTTATGATATCATATTTAAAAAATTATAAAATAAAATATATCATGCATGGTTGTTATTTGTAGAATGATAAATGAGAAAAATACAAAAAAAAATCTACTTATAAAATATAAATGTAAATTCTCATTTCTTAAATTTAAAAAAAATGAAGTAGCCTTTTTTGTCCAACAAAAATATATTTGGTATCATATTTAAAAAATTAAAATTGGTGTAGATTATATTAAAAATATATGATATCATATTTAAAATTGGTGTAGAGTATTTTTATATATTTATGATATCATATTTAAAAAAATATAAAATAAAATATATCATGCATGGTTGTTATTTGTAGAATGATAGATGAGAAAAATACGAATAAATCTACTTATAAAATATAAATATAAATTCTCATTTCTTAAATTAAAAAAAACGAAGTAGCCTTTTTTGTCCAACAAAATATATATATATATGATATCATATTTAAAAATTAAAATTGGTGTAGAGTATATTAAAAATATATGATATCATATTTAAAATTGGTGTAGAGTGTTTTTATATATTTATGATATCATATTTAAAAAATTATAAAATAAAATATATCGTGCATGGTTGTTATTTGTAGAATGATAAATAAGAAAAATACAAAATAATATACTTATAAAATATAAATGTAAATTCTCATTTCTTAAATTAAAAAAAATGAAGTAGCCTTTTTTGTCCAACAAAAAAATATATGTAAAGCATTTTCTTGTATAATGTGTGTATTTTATCAAATTAAAAAAAATTAAAATCATACACAAATTAACATAAATGGAGGGATGTTCTTATATGTAATTTTACTCACAAACAGCTAAGAATAAACAGCTAAAGTTGCCAAAAATCTAATTTTTAACAGCTAACAGAAATAGCCGGTCAAAACAGCAAACTCAATCTGCCATTCAAACCAGCCAACATAAACAACCAACTGCTATGTTCCAAACAAGGCCATTGTAACTCAAGCTGAATTAAGCTAATACGTGAGTTATATTCTAATCTTTATTGTTCTCATTTACATACAAATTTTTGTTACCACCATAGTTGTTGGGCTAAATTCCATCACATCCATTTTACAATGTCCACGGTGGCAACGCACGGTGGCCCGGCCCCTCAGGCATCAATGCATGTTATTTTAGCAGGTAAAAAAAGTGCTTTTGGTGGCCTGCAGTTGTTCTACTCCAAGTGACATTGAAACTCTGACATGGAGCAATACTAATACTTAAACCACCTGCGTGCCACATATATGGCCTCTCTCCATCATCTTAGTTTCATAACACTCTCCATCCTTGGCTCACAAAAAGGGTGGACTTAGCTTGGACATCTTCCAGTTCCGAACCGGTATCAAAACGTCAATAAGAACCTTTTGGGCGAGTAGGAAAATGGGTACCGGAACCTTTCATGCGGGGGCGATGAGTGAGAGGCGTGCCAAATCTAACCGGTCGTTATTTATTACGTAATATTCTATAACTAACCACGTTTCAATCAATCAGAATGCACGAAACCCTAACATCTCATCTTCTCTTTTTTTTAGAGCCCGGAAATGGTCGTGTTTTTCCTCTTTTTTCTTTGCCTCCCTTTTCTGGAGCTTCAAGACGTTGGAAATTATTTCCTATCTGATACGATATTGATATCAATCACACAAAAGCTGCAAAGGGTAGTATGATCTTAAATGTTGTGATAAGGATCTTTAGTGACACTTTTGACAGGATTTATTCGGAAAAAAACACAACAGGGGCAGCACAATTTTCCATTCAAAAAATTTATTCCCACAAACATTTATATGATTGTGTTATGCCAACATTGTTTGGGTGTATGATGTCTGTTTTCATTCAAACCAAACACTAAAAATATTGCTCGCATGTATGGTGCATATAATTTTGTAAAGATTGGTTGTGTACACTGCACATCCAAAAATTAATTAAAATCAGCACCTTTCTATTCTTCCATCTGATAAAAAATTGTTCTCTAAGCCAGACGATACGGCAATATATTATGTATTCGATAGGGGATTACATTAAAAACCAAACTTTCTACACACACGCAAAATAATAATAAAAAATAAAGGACGTGAGTAACTATTATAATTATAATTATGTATCCCGCCACCAATCCATCAATCTACTCCGTATTATTTATATCGCGTACCGGATTGATTGGAAGACATCTATGACTTGGTCAATCTGTGCAGGACTGCAGGTGAGAATCCATGCTTCAAAATCAAGATTTTGATTACTCCCCGCGTTAGTCCCCTTTTTATCTGATAATGTTAAGTGCTTCAAAAACAGCCTTCGTTCAAAATGTATGCTACCTGCAGTGTGATAGGTCCATGGGTGCCCGGCCGGACCAACTATACTATCACCCTGGCTGCATCATCATTGGGAAGAAAGACCACTTCTCGGGGCCAGGGCAAGGGCCAGCAACACTACCCGTTTCTGAAACATCTTCGTTTCCGTTATCGAAAAAGTTGAATTCCTCTGGAGATCCAAGGGTGATGGACCGGTTCTTCTCAAGACTTCCTCCTGGTGATGGACCGGTTCTTCCCTGTGCTTTGGCTGTAGAATCCCATACTTTTTCAGGAGATGTTACTGATCTATCCTTGGATAACAGCCTTGGATTTTTCTCTATGCACCTAACAAAATCTTCTGCAGTCACCTCAAATGAAACACGGTGGTCCGACACTGCCTCAACATTCCTCCATTTATTGTATGAATTTGAATGACAGATGTCAGAGTTTTGATGGCGAAACTTGAATTTGTTATGTGTCCAGGGTCCTGCTGAATCTGGTGTCATGTCATAAAATTCACGGTCAGGGAAAGGCGATGAGGTCCCTGAACCAGATATTGCCGAGGCAGGAGAAAGCAACCGGCTGATTGGGCTTCCAGGGTGTAGTTGATAAGACTGGAATTCGCGACGTGAAAGTGGAAGCATATTTCCGTTTTGAAGGTTTGGGTCAAGAAGCTTGGCGAAGGGCACCTCAGGCGAAGAAGGTGTTGTCAAGTGCACCAACTCGGGAGGAGGAGTGAAGGGAGCTGTGGAAGGTTCTGTGGTGAATGTTGAGAATACAGGAGGAGAAACTAGCTGGGTTTCATGCGCATAAGGCCCAATTGCAAATATTGAAGCAGGTCCACCGGGTGAATACATGTTTGCAGACATTGAAGAGAATGATATCAAGCCAACAGGTGATTGGGTAGCAGAAGGAGGCTCTGATTGGATGAATGATACTGGAGATGACGGAGGTGCAACAAAAGGAAGAGCGAAAGTGGTAGTGGTTCCAGTTGGGTTATCAGCTTGAGCGACATGAACATTTCCTGGAATCCCTCTTGTTTCGGGATCAAAGACTGCATGTCCAATTCTTTTGTTCTTCTTTTTTGACCCAAAACACCAATATATGCTGAAGCAGCTTCCCCATCTTCTCTTCTGCAAACCGATAAGGTCAGGTGGGTTACTAGAAAGCTATTATGAACAAGAAAACTAATGTATGATAGATATAGCCACTCAAGTAAACTCAATGATATTTCCTCAACCCTACATCTTTCCATTGGTTCATTCTCCTTATTTCTCTCAATGATATGTAAATGGATCCAAAACAAATGATAGTGAGATGAATAAATCAGAACCATAACCTATAGTCCTACACTACTAGCCTCTTCTCTGCCAAAATGAATTTGTATTGATGCAGTTACTATATCCAGTTAGCTACAAACAGCCACTAGTCTCTTACGTAAAGAGCATAGAACATTAGTGGTTGAAGCAACTAAAAACGGAAGAGTACTTGACAATAACACCAACAAGGATACTTAGGTGTTCAGCCATTTTCTGTCCCTAAGCAAGAAGAAAAAAAAAGTCATAACCTAATACCAGTGTGGCACTTAAAACATGATCATTCCATGAGTACAAATGAGAAAACAGATCAAGCAATACAACCAAGAGTACAGAATATACAGATCCACAACAGCTGTAATCTCAGACAGATTGATGAAAAATAAATATTGTTTTTCAGTTGGGATAGTTTCACTTCTTGGAATGAAACAGGAGTGTTTAAACTTTCTGAATACAACAGTTACTCCCTCCTTCATGACAGGAGACTGTTCACAGTTTCAAGTAAAGAATGTGTTCATCAATCTGGGGATCTTCTCCACTTCCTCTCGCCTCCACTTCCTTCCATTACCATAATTTAGGTGAAATAAATGAAATTGTTGGGACACATCCCCACCATTACATTTATATCTCTCAAAACTATAGTTATGGAGGGGAAATGAAAAGAGGGTAATGGACACAATCATAAATCCTTTCCAGTTAGCATATTACAATGTCAAGGCTAATCTACTCCAAAATTCCAACAGGGGAAATTGAACTCATATTCACAACCAAGAAGAATGAGCAGGATACAGAGCATAAAACCCATGATTTAGAAATAGACTGATATAAATGGGGATTAAGCTTTAGAATAATCATCAGTTTACTATGTGTTCCATTTCCTTAATTACATCATCCCCCTCTACTACGAACACGTGAAGTGCCAATAACATGGTTTAGAAATATTTCAAAATTCTGGCCAGTTCCAAACACAGTTTTAGCTATGATCGTTATTTAACTGTGATTAATGAAAAAAGTTTCATGATTTAAAACATAGAACATACAAAATAATCACCCTTATACAAGTTCCCGTAACGAATCATACAACTACACAAGTGATTGAATTGTGAACTTTCTAAAATTCACCCTTAACAGCAGGGCAGAGTCACAACTAATTATCAATTTCAGATTTAAAAAAATTATTGCGAAAAGCACTTCAACAAGACGCATCAGATCAGCAGATCTATAATTATCTATTTAAAAAAGGTAAAAAACGAGTGATTGGACAAAAACACTACTGAGTACGAAGTATGATATTGGCCAAAATATAATGAATTATCATCTCTACTAGCCAAAAGTGATAAAAATATAGCCTAATTCCAGTGCAAGAATCCGTATAAATACTCCAACGAATCGGAATTTGATTTTTTTTAAATAAAGTTGATTAAAAAATTATGAGCAAAAAACTATTGAACTAATCTTCGAGCGAATAGAAAACCTGGGAAAAAAAACCAAACTGGGTGAAATTCACCTGGGAGGAGGCTTGAGAGGCGCGATTCCCTGCGGAAGCGATTGCAGTAGCAGCAGCGCTGATAGTCTCGAGCGGGAGGCCGGCGGTTCTCATCATCTCCCCATTCGCGGCACCGATCATAATCTCTATATCTCACGCTCAATCTCGATCGCCGAACGAATCTCCACGCCGGTGAGCCGCCGCCGCCGGCCTGATCATCCAAACGTCACTGTTTTGTCTAGACGGGAAACGAAGAATCAACGAGCCGCAGGTGTGCAATGTAATGTAAAGTTGGAGCGGAGAGAGTAAAAGGAGAGCAATGAGCGCGCACGTGTGGGATTCCAACTTTCTCGATGTGGGCCCCTCCAGTTGATCTGACCCAACGTAATTTCCGAGCCCCCCCGCTGCCTTTGCATACTTTTCTTTTCTAGGATGTGTTTGGCAAGACCATGCTAGCTGTAGCCCATTATTTTATACTCCCTCCGTCCCCCTAAGATCTTCTTGTTTTGACTTTTTGCGGTTTTTAAGGAGAGTTGAAAAAAGGTGAAAATTTATCAAAATATCCTTAATGAAAATGGGTGAGATGTATTAAATAAGGTGTAATAAATAAAGTGAGGATAGTTGTAGTATTTTAAATGTTACAAAAGGTAATGAGAAAATATATATGTGGGACAAATAAAAAGGGATACTGGAAAGATCTATGGGGGACGGAGGGAGTACACAATAATTTTGCAACACCACTCAAATTATTTACACAAATACAGAAAGTTGGGTAAAATTAACGATAACGCGATCAATCGAGAGTTATGTATAACACTTTCATATTGAATATTTTAGTTGTTCAATCTAAAATTCAATCGGATAAAACTCGAAAGTAACAAGAACAAATATGGGATTGCTGTGAATTTTCGAAAATATCACTCTCTTCAATCGGATAAAATTTGAAAATAAAAATTCAATTGAATTTTTTAACATAGCACTTCGACTCCAGCCAGTGGCTCTGCCCCCCCCCCCNTCCCACTTGAACCCTGCTCGGGGGCGCTGCCCCGAACACCCGCCAAAGGGGCGCTGCCCCCTTGGAACCCCCGATAAAAGGGGATTTTTATCGTAACAAACTCAATGAAGCGTGCACTTCGCACCACCAAACTTCTCTGATGATTATTAGGATACCATTGGTCATAGTTTTTCCAATTGCACTAAAATATATAACACAGAATATTAGTATAATTTCTGAGGATCGTACTAACATTATGTGCAAGTGTGATGATATTAAGTATTACAGAGAAGTTATCAAGGTGCTAATAGAAAGTTGTGATATACTACAAAATAGAGTACAAAAGTGATGTATAAGAGTACTGAAAATGGTCCTAAAGTCGGGGGCGTTTTTCTCGAACTCTAGGACTGCTCTAGCATGATTGTAAGTATAAATGTTAATAGGTAAAACCAGCCTTCGGAATATGATCGCTGCGAGTTAAAACGTACCTACAGGATCCACAAATTATCGTTTTGAAAGGGACAAGGGTACCACGGGCTTCATCGGGGCGTTAATGCTCTTGCGTCAAACGTTTAACTGGAAAATGCAACGGACCCCCTCCCTTCCAACATGCCATTACATATAAAAAATTCCTCTATAAATTCATTCTCTTTTTTAAAAATAAAACACACAAACACAAATATCACTCTCTTCTTTTTAAAAAATCTTCAATTTTTTTCCTTATTTTTAACATGAATCCTTTTTGTTTCTCTCTTCCTTCATCTGGTCTTGAGCCAAATTAGTACGCGATGTAGATATACCAAACGTACGAGAATAATCCGGCTTTGTTCGATATAAAAACTTCGGTGAATTTGGAGGACCCAGAGTCGGTTCCAGAGACTCAACCGGAACCAAGTGATTCAAAAAAAGTGCATGCCGGAAGAGTCACAAATCGAAAACCGATAAGCCGATGATCGAGGCGACATGGTGCATTCAAAAGTGGACACCAGAGGAAGAATTGTTGTTAGCGTCTACTTGGGTTGACGTCTCAGAGCATCGTATCGTTGGTATAATTAATATGTTTTTACATATATAGTATATATGTTCTTTTTATATATTTGTATTAAAATATTTTTTCGTTCCATTATATATTTCTTAAAGGTTCTGATCAAACAAAGGATGCAATGTGAGATTGTATCAAGGGGAAGTTCTTTGTGGCGATGAACAAGAACGCCTTCTACCAAAACGGAGACCAACTCACTTAAAAAATAGGGCCACATCAACAGAATAGTCTGAAAGTTTATCAGAGTTTATGAGGAGTGCTCTCGATCCTGGAAGAGCGGAATAAATGATGCCGATAGTCTACGGCAAGCCACCCTCGGGTATTAAGACGACGAACACCAAGGTAAGGTCCTTGTCAATCTTTGGAGAGTTTTAAGCTGTTCACCGGAATGACAACAATTCAACAACCTTGAGGCTGGATCGCCAAACAAAAGATCATCCACCGAGGTTGAGGCCGATGACACTATCGGCTCGTCGGAACAAAGGTCTCCCTTTAACCTAGATGACTCAGATGATGAGGACTCCATTCCATGGCCAATTGGAAGAAAGAAGTCAAAATCCATTGCCTTACGTTCGGCTCGGTTTCCTCTCACGGCAATACCGATCGGGCAATGGTTGAACAACTGCGGGTGTTCAATATTAGAAAAGAAACAAAGGCAAGAGAAGGAGGAGCTTGAAATAAGGGAAACCGACCTTGATACGCTAACGGGCTTCAAACGCATGTATTGAGAGAGAAGATAAAACGAGATCAAGGCTAAATATAATTTGCTTTAGTTTTTTTATTAATGTACTACTTTTTAAAATTTAATGTTATTTTTTATTGAATGTAATTTTTTTATTTAATGAATTAGTCGTTTAAATTCAATTAATTGATGAAATCTTATTAATTTAATTTTACAAAATGTGTATTAAAAATTTAAAAAATAAATGTTTGAAGCCCTAGTTTGAAGCCTCGGGGCTTCAAACTCATTTCTAGTGAAACTGTGATGTAAGTTAAAGGTGTTAAAATTGATGTGATAGAAAGAGAAGGTTTGAAGCTCAGGGTTTCATGACCATTTCTAGTGCCCTAAGTATCTTCATTGGTTCGACAATTAGAGTAGGTGCATAGTACTCGGTACCAAGCAATATTTTGAAAATCAGACGACACATTAAATCAAAGAAACAAGTGAGTCAAGGGTTTATGTCAACTAGTTAATGTGTTCATACATCATATGTCACATTCTTTATTTATATTTAGTTGACTGGAATAGAAAAAATAGATGAAAAAATAAATTTTGGCATATTAGGTTAAAATTACTCCGTAGTAAATATTGGTATTCTATACTTGATATTTATAGATGAATTTTGTTTGGTATTAATTATTTATATATATTTTTTTATAAAAATAAATAATGTTAATTTTTTTAATCTTTAAACTATTTTTGAAGTTCATAAATTAAATAAAATACTACGACCTTTTCAAAATAATTAGAAGTTATTTAAAATTTACATATAGCGTATAGATTAGAAAGCGTACATATTACCCCACATATGTGTTCATTAACAAGTGTTATAGTAGCTTAGTGGTTAAATTGTTGGGTGTCCATCCCACATTCGAGAAATAAAAGAAATAATACTCTCATACGGAGTATAATATAAAGAAAGCTAAAGCACTAGTCATTAGCTTAAGCTTTTGATTAAAATGTAGATCCGTACTTTCTATGGAAAAATAATCAAATCTCACCCGATACTCTACCCGATTCACTCGGCCCTCCAAAATTTCAACAAAAACTCTTGTGCTAAGCGTATAAAGGGGGGCTTGATCTTTGCAATCAAAGAAACCTTAGAAATATACAAAAATATGTTTCCGAGTACTATTATTTTATCAAACTCAAACACATCTTGGAACCAAGTTGGTGGACTGGAAACACGACTTGACCATGTCCTTCAAATGGAGCACATCCATGTGTGCTCCATATTAATCTTCATCACAGAACAAATTGTTGTTCTCATCTCTCATGCTTTTGCCACTACTGGTGTGCTAAAAATATCTTCATTGCATGTATGTTACGAACCCGATCTCCAGCAGAAATCAAACACTTCAACAATGTTGGTGGATAAAGACGCCCGATACGGATCAATAGCCCTCCCTGCACCCCATAACGCAGCTTCTGAAGCAACGGTAGGTATATTAGATATGGCCAAAATGTCCCGATCGAATTGGTCAAGTGTGACAAGATCCCAAATTGCAGAGGATCCAAAACAGATGCAATGGAGGCCAGTGGCATTTGCCACAATACTTGATCTTACTTCTCCTTCATTATGGGTTCCTGAGATTGCATCTGCTTATCCTAGGATTCATTCACCCTACATAACCTAGACAAGTACAAAACTGATATTTAGATTCAAGAAACAATATTTGTTAACACACTAAAGAAATTCAAGAAACACCATGGACAAACACAGTTTGATCCTCTACTTTCACAAGATGGCAGCCACTGGGGTATGAGAGACCAAGACCTGTGTACCTAGTAGGGAAAACATCTTCAAACTCGAAACCAGATTCCAACATTCAATCCGAAATCAACTTCTGAGAAGGAAAATTCAGTTCCCAGACAAGAAATCGACACTAAGCTGCATAGTATCTATAGCACACCTTCAAAATCTTCAATTAACTCAAATCATATCCTGAGCTAACAAGCTTATGGTATGAACACAGCACCTAATACTGATGAAAGATATGTCCAGAAGAGAACAGTGGAGGGGAAAAACCCCAATTCTTAGATATTGAAGAGAGAGTTTTCTGAAACATAAAACAGATCAGCAATTTGAGGGTTGTATTCCATAAAAGCTTCCACTTTATACATGAGATTGCAAAACAATTTCATTTGTAGATGAATATGTTTAAACAAACACATAAATAAAAAAAAGGAATCAAATACATTACTAGAAAAAAAGGGGGGAAATTTCTAATTGCCTTGGTGCTTTTGGATCTCCTGTTTCTGTTTCTCCACGAGCTTGTCGAGGGCGGCTTGCAGGGCGTCGTGGCCTCCAATCAGCAAACGGGTGATGGTTTCCGGGTCGGTTTCGAATCGGGCCTCCTCGAATTCCTTCCTGGCGTTCTCTCGAAGGACATCGCGCCAGAGAAGGCCTCGGGAATCGGGCCAGGCGAAGAACCGGGTGGCCCGGATGATGTCCCTGTAGAGACTCAGCGCCTCGCGGCGAGTGCTGGTGAGCCGCTGCCGAGTCAGGATTTCGTTGTCGTCTTCGTCTAGAATCTTCTTCTTCTTCTCCTCCTTGACGGCGATGTGCCTGTCGAGAAGCTCCTCCACAGTGTCGGGGCCGTTGTGCAAGAGGCGGGGCGACCCGAATTCGACCGGTCGGAGATGGATCCCCATGGTTCGAAATGTGCGGCCGTATACGGCCATGGCCTCGCAGGTTCAGCTGCCTAATTGTGCAAGGCACCGGCACGAGGTAGAAAATTGAGTAGTCTCACTGATGTCTTGACAACACGTTGTTTATCCATAAGTTTCAAAACCATTGGTGACACTAAAGGATTGCCACAAGCACATATGTCATATTCTAACCAATAAAAGGCAGTCCAGTCATAGATTGTCAAATGAGTAGAGTGGCACACTCTACCGTGACAAGTCATTAATTTTTGTAACTTTTATATTTTTGAGAATTTTAATTATCAAAAATGCCTCGTATTTTAATTATTTATTTTATCATAAAGTAACAAAGAAAAAAAATACTCCGTAGATGAGGGCATTTGATGACCAAATCTGTACTTTCTTCTCCAAAGAAAATAAACAAATAAATACAAAAAAAATGGAAAACAAATACGGGTGAGTGGATGGCCACAGACCACAGATCTCCTTTCTTATCCAAAGGAAAAAATGAAAAATAAAAAGGAAACAAAAAAATACTCTTGTATAGAGAACTTTTGCCTCGCAGGCTACTCGGATATAGGGGTGACTCGCCCTAGACACGCATGGCAACATGCCTCTACAAGCTGATGTGGCAGAGCATGGCTTGGTGATGGAACGCCATTGCTAATGCTCTAATAGCTTGTCAACTAATTCTTAATTTGTACTCCCTCCGTCTAGTGTATTTGTTCAGTTTGACTTTTTTGAGTCCAACTGGACAAACTTTGAGCTTTAATTAAATAAAAACTCTAATGTATTATAACATAAAAATGACTTTATTAGATTTATCATATTGAGAACTTTCAAATTTGTATATCATTATGCTAATGTGCAATATAAATTAAGAGTAATTGGAGTTCAAAGTTTGTCCAGTTTGACTCAAAAAAGTCAAACTGGACAAATACACTAGGACAGAGATAGTATTATTTATTTTTTTTAAATTAATTCATAAATGCTTAGAAATAATTTTAAATATAATTAAAGTCAAATCAAATAAAAATTTATTCAAATTAATACGTATATCATACATCTAGATGTATAATGTTTCTTGTACATATACTTGAATACACATATTCGAATAACTGAATACTCATTTTCTTGTAAAAGAATACTCATTTTTTAGCATAACTGAATTTTAGAAAAAAGAGTATTTAGTTACTCGAAAGTGAGTATCATTTCTTTGAAAATAAGTATTCAATTGCTCGTAAATGAGTACTCAACCCGAATCCAATTTTTTCAGATAATCAATCCGAAAATCAGAAAATGAAAAATATCATATCGGATACCCATTTTCCAGATTGGATCAAAGGGGATCACGAACAGATTTTTCAGGTCGGATAATCTGGAACAGCCCTAGTAGAGAATTGGCAAAGGAAGAGGGAGAGCGAGAGCAAAGGGTATAGGATTGAAGAAAATAAGAATAGTCAACTTTACAAATCAAGCTTCGCAAGTGCCCAATGTCACTTAGGAAACCCACCTTTCTCATTATTCTTCCAACAAAGACCATTAGCTTTCCATCCCTTATTACTCTTATTTACAACAAACATTTACCAACCGTCTCAACAAAAAGAGAACTATTATGAATCACAACTGAATCAATTCTTTTTTGAGAGCCAACCGAATGGATACAATAGAGGAAGAAAACATCTTCAAAGCATCCTCATGAAGATCAACAAACAAAAGTTCTTGTTAAAATAAACAACTCCATATACAATGATATGTGCATTTTACTTTCCTATGTAGAAATCATAAGAACGTCAACGTTCTCAATAGCAAAATGAGGAGTAGTTGTCTCCAACGTCAAATTAATGAGCATTAACGCCATCAAAATAGTCATGGAACGGTAACTATAATACGGAGTATAAAGTAATAGACGACCAGCCCCTCAAGAAAATGAGGGGGGAATTATTTTTCCATATCTGTGGAGTAAACAATTGTTAACTTGGACAGTCCTTCCAGTGTACCAAACTCTGAAATAGACTCCTAATGGGGAAATACTAAAAACATCTATAGAAATAATTTAAAAAACATAATAAGTGAAATACTAATTATGGGAAAACTTAGTCATTTTACTACCTATGTTTCATTTAAAGTTCAGATTCGGTCCAGATAATATGATCAGATTAGGCAGCCAAACTCTTTGATGCAATTTCAAAAACATTCTCTGAGAGCCCCTCGGTCGACAGGATCATCTCCAACTGCGCCTGTATACGCAAGTTAAAATTCCAGGCTTAGTGCTTTTTATTCTAATGAAAAAAATCACCCACAGAATATCTTTGAAATGAGAGGATTAATATGTTTATTAAGCATTAAATCCATAATAATCACAAGGAAGCTGGCAACAGCCAACATATGTTAAAAACAATTGCCTGTGAGCTTCTTCGATTACCTTGGCAAGAGCTTGTCTGGTTTCGTCATAACGTTTCCACCTAGAGAAGGCTGACACCATCCGGGAAGCCACCTGCATTGAATTATTCATTGGCCTTATGTCAAACTTGATGAGAGGATGAAGTTTTAAGAATTGAAACTTCAGAGAAATCCCTTGCAAATTAGAAATGGAGCCCAGGTTTCTTTCTGCGGGTTTATATTTACAGGGTGGATTAAAAAAATGTTGAAAATCTTTTAAACTATGTTTGGTTCAAGGAATTTGATAGGGAAATGAAAAGAAAATGATATGGAAAAGAAAAGAAAAGTGGAAGGAAAAGAAAAGGCGAGGGAAAATAAACTAAGAGAGAGAAGCAAATTTCCTTCCAATTTGGTTAGGAAAAGGAGGGAAACCTAGACGGAAGTCCTCGGAATCTCACTCAATCCATCGTTGCTCAAATTCTCTCATCGATTCCTACTGCTCAATTATTCCTCTCCCTTCTCTCCCGTCAATCCTTCTCGCTCAGTTTTTTTGTGTGTAGGGCTGGGTGTGTGTGTGTGGGGGGGGTTGTTTTCTCTTCAGCAACCAAACAATGCTCATGGAAAAGTATTTTCATCACCAATTTCTGTAATAACCACAAACAAAACTAGGATTTTGGATGTTTTTTTGTTTTTTCCTTGCCTTTCTAATTCTTTGAACCAAACAGTGTTAGTGATTGTACCTGAGGATTCAGTTTGTCGAGCTGCACCACAAGTTCTCCTAAGAACTTGTACCCTGATCCATCCTTCGCGTGGAAGTTAATAGGACACCCACAAAATCCACCAATCAATGAATACACCTTACATCAAAAACCAAATTGAACACAATTCAATCAAAATTCATATACGAACAACAAACCCAATATAATCCCAACTCTGTTTGGGTCTAAGGGGTCTAGATGTACGCAACTTAGCCCCTGTGAAAAAATAAGAGGCTGTTTTTTGTTAGACTCACGTTGCATTTGTGCACTTCATACCCAAAAAATCATACAAAGTATTCTGGGGTTAAAAGAAGCAATGTAAGATTAATGTGCCATTTTGGTTTAGTTCAATGTTTACACGATGACCGATACTAGAACATTAACAAAAAGGTTTGTTAAGGAGCAGGTTAAAAACCTTGTTTGGATTTCGCAGGTCAAAGGCTGGGTGGTTCAAAAGTTTTTTGATATTTTCAACATTTCCTGGAACGGTTGATGCACCTTGGAGGCTAAACCATTTGTTTACAACCTGCAAAATAAAATATAATATAAAATTACATGGCTCCATTCTCAGCTGTTCCTGGTATTGTGTCCCCATCAACTTTTATAAAAGAGGTTGCAAACGGTTCGGATGTCAAAAAGTACTTAACGTGCCTTAAAAAGAAGTTTGTGATAGATGCGATGCTTCTACAAAATGTTAGACTGAAAGACATACCAAGAAGTCGTGCTGCCACTTGCCAAAGAAATCTGCTAGAATTTCATCCCGAGTTTGACCGTGCTGCTGGTCAATAGCTATCAGAGCAGCAAATTGCTCTGTCATATTTGCTGCAGTTCTATATTCGTCCAATACAAGGTCGATAATTTCTGGGTCTTCAAGTGATCCGAGATATGCTGTAACCAAGCAAATGCAATAGATATTACTCAACCAGCCTAGACTAATAATCAGAAATAGAGAAATTCTGCCACAGACCAAGAGAGATGTTTTTTAGAGAACGCCTCGCCATATTGTGATGATTAAATTCATATTGTTCAGAGCTCCTATTCTCTTTTACCTGCAACGGAACAGCTGAGTTAAATATATACCAACGCGAGAAAAATAACTAACTTTATGTTTGCAATTTGCATGGTCATACCGTTCTGAGAAGGTCTTCTTTTAATTCCGCAGCAAGTTGCTTCCTGACAAAGGTTCTAACAGCATGAACGGCATCAGGGTCAGCAACACTCATCATGTCCATTATCTCTCCTTCCCCTGGCAAAGTTATTGCCTTTGCAATGAACTCCTACATAGAGTTTGGCAAGTTAGAGAATCAATTCCAATTTGCAACTGGAATGGTGAGAGAAGACATTCAAACCTTATCTAAACTAGAATCATTAAGGATGCTTTTTATTCCCTGTACAAATTGTGGGTTAAGAACCAAATGTTTGTTTTGCTGGAAATCAGCTACAAGGTTGAGCATCAGCTTCCTTGCCAACACCTGTCCGGCTTCCCATCTGCACCATTGAAGACCATGTTGAGCCTATCCCAAATCTTTGATTAACAAAAACGAAAAATAGAGTTTGTACCTACCTGTTGAACTCATCAGAATCATGCGCAAGAAGAAAAAATAGATCTGCATCGGTAAGATCAGACTCAAGTCGAATGGGAGCACTAAACCCCCTTAATATAGACGGTGTTGGCCTCTCCGGTATGCCATTGAACACAAATTCCTCTTCTTTCTGCACATTATAAACAAGATGGTTTATAAATTAGGTGAACTGCATAAGAGAAAGTGATTAAAATAAAAACCTCAATGAAAACGGAATTTTTTTAGACCGACAAAATGTGATGACTAACAGAGGAAGTGACTTGTATTTTACATTTTTAAAAATTGATTGGAAGGCAAATTCGGTATGCATTTTATGGTTTTCCTTTTCACTATTAAATTTAACCGCATTTTTTTCAACAAAAAAGTCTTTTTTGTCCAACCTAATTAAATTACTAGTATTGAAGAAATACCCCACAGTAACAGTAACAAAATTCACTCCATCCCATAATACTTTGCCAAATTTGACAGCCTCGGAGAGTAGGAAAATAAAAGCTGTGCTTGCAATTTATTTGAAAGAGAAATATATGATCCACATATTCAATTCCTTAAAAGCAAAGTAGAACATACACAAAAGGAATATTGGCAAAGTTTTGAGAGATAGATGTAGTCATAATAATAATAATAATAATATTATTATTATTATTAATTTCATTTGTTCATAAACACATAAGAGCTTAATTAGTTTAAGAGCTTAGTGTGCAATGAAAAACTAATAACAGACAACCCTTTGTGTTTAAACAGCGAAGTAAATATCTCAACTAACCTTTGTTAGCCTAAGAACTGTAGTGTGGACTGGCTTGCCACCGCCAAAACATTCCAATTTCCCACCATAGTTTACAGATGACAAAGGAATTTCCTTGCCTCTTGAGTCTAAAAGGCCGACCGCAATTGGAATAAACATTGGCTCCTTTACAGATTGCCCTGGTGTGGGAGGGATATCTTGACTGAAAAGATATTAAATCAGATAAAGTAGGCAATTACAAATTAAATACTACCTCTTTCCCATACAAAAAGTTAACAAAGAGAAAATTATGGAGTTTAAAGAGGAGATTAGTGACCCTTGCTGTGACCAAAAAGTAAAAGGAATGGTGATTGCTAAATTGTGAACCGCAAGTGATAAAAAGTTGGAAGGAGAAAAGGGGGTGATTTAAATTTGAGGGTGGAGTATTACAAGCAATAATGGAACCTTTAAACATTCAAATGGAAAGGAGGGAGTATGTTTATTTAATGTATCGACAATATTCTTCACATTCGTACCTGAACTTAAGAGAAAAAGTATGAGCATCAGCATCATAAGTAGATGTAACGTTGACAAGAGGGGTTCCAGCTTGAGAGTACCTGAAAGTTTAGTTTTTTACAAGTTCAAACCAGAACTACCAATCAAACACCTGATTTCAGAAGTGGGGACAAGAATTAATAAAATACCATAACAAAAAATTAGCAAAGTCTGCATTATTTGCATCCCGCATTGCAGCAAAAAAGTCTTCACAAGTTACAGCTTGCCCATCATGCCTCTTAAAATATAAATCCATCCCCTACAATACCAAAGCAATGCTTCTGTTGGCCAAATACTGGAATGTAAATATTAGATATTCCAATATCAGGAGTTCATCATACTGTTTTTACCTTTCTAAATCCTTCACTTCCCAGCAAGGTTTTGTACATTCGAACAACTTCAGCTCCCTGATTTGTACATGTGTAATTAAAAGTAGACATTTTTAAATGTGCACACAGGATAAAACGCACACAAAAGCATAGGCAGAGGAAATACCTTTTCATACACCTACAAAAATGGGAAAAAACAGAAAACATCAGTAAATTAGTCAACTCAGGCAAATAAAGGAAAATGCAAAGTATTAAACTATACAAGCAAAAGTACTAAGATAACAATACCGTTACTGCATGTGGCAAGATATCCAGACCAGAAGACAAGCAATACCAGTTGATATAGCCACAACATTCAAAAATCAAAGGCATTGATGAGTTTCTATGGCGTGGAAACCAAAAAAAAAGTCTGTGTATGCAAATGATATAACGAACTCCTCTCAGAAGTAAGAATTAAACATGACTGACCAGTGTAGAAGTTATCCATCTGCCAATGTTTTGTGCAAAGTGGCCGGAAAAAAAAGAGCACAAAGTTAAAATCTTTAACTTGAAAAGAGGGTAATTGTTTTAATATAAAATTATCAAAAAAAGTGCAGATGAAAAACAAATTTCAGACCTTAATGTAGGAGTGAGGCCGAACTGGATGGGCCATGGGACCAGCATCCTTAAATATTACCCATAAACATAATAAGTAATTCGAAGTTAAGGTGTGGCCAAGGATGAGCAAAGTTCAATACCAAGATATTGGATAACGCCTAACAGCTTGACCATGTGTATAATAACAACAAACCTGAGGATATTGATACATTCTAAGCTTTGAAACATCAGCAATCCTCTTCACTGTACGGCTTCCCATATCAGAAGAAAATTCCTAACACATGCATAAAAAATGTTGTGAAGGAAAGTTCTATAAATTATTTTATTGTAAGAGGAAATATCATACTCAGATATATGAGAATGTCTACCTGATCACGGAAGACTGTTAGACCTTCCTTCAAACTAAGCTGGAACCAGTCACGACATGTCACTCTGTTTGGAGTTCATTGTAAATCTCAATATCATATTTAAAACTTAACATATCAAATATGACTTGTTTTAGAAGCAAGTTAATTCCAATTCAATTCCCTTCATTGGTGAGCTGGGTATGCCACTTTTATTTGTGAAATATGCCACTTTTGGTCTTAAAATTAGTCATTCTTTGGTAGCTTGGAAACAAAATCTAGTCAATTTCAAACTTGAGGATAAAAAAGGGAAGTGAGGGTAAAAAATAATATGAACTCTTTTGACAAGGTTTGGCAAACAATGAAAACTGCTCAAGATCGTTTTTTACATTAAATCAATAAACAGAAACAAGTAGAACATGTTTAAATGGACTGAATATATTTTGGCATGAAGGAAAGATAGAAACCCACCTGTTCCCAGTCCAATTGTGGAAATACTGTAAAACATAAAAGAAGCATATTTTAAATCAATACATTCAAAACATGTGTTCGTATTAAATATTGGTTCATATTATTGGGTAGGATACCTCGTGTCCAATCACCCCTAGAATCGCAGCATAATCTCCATCAGTTGCAGTTTCAGGAGAAGCCAAGACTAGCTTGGAATTGAAAATCTGTTTACAACAAATCAAATATGTTCAGAAGATGGAGATTGCTTCTCAAGCCCTGCCTCTCCCTAGAAATTTTTACAATTAGCATTATGGAAAGTAAAGCATACATTCAAACTTTTGTTTTCCATTGCTCCCCTGGCAAAGAGTAACACAATATTAGGAATCTTGAGAAGCAAACAATATACCAATTGAGGATAATAAAAGAATAAGGGCATTAGAAATATGAAAACAGAGAGATACTAACATGTTAAAATCTGGTACGGCAACAATATTAAAAAGATCCAAATCATACTCAAGACCAAAGACCTGTTTCATATAATTGCAAGAAAATATAGCATCAAGATATAGAGGTAAGGAAAAAAGAAATGAATTGAAAATGACTAGTAAATGGAAAACTAACATCTTCATCCCATTTCATAGCTGCTTTAAGTGAATACATTGCATGCGCTGTCTTTGGCAAATCCTGTGCAGGCGTCCAAATTCGAAGGGAGACATTTCTGCCAGAACGAGTGGTAAATGTGTCATCTCTACTAACCAATTGTCCAGCAACCAATGCAAACAGATAACTTGGTTTCTTGAAAGGATCCTCCCAAATGGCGTAATGGCGTCCTCCCTAAATTTAAGGGAAAAGATCAATAACACAGAAGCTACCCAATCCACACACGTCAAATTAAGCTTTGTACTTATAATATATAAGGTTGAAGCTCACCTCCAGATCTCCTTGCTCAACAAGGTTTCCATTAGACAATAACACAGGGTACAAGGATTTTTCTGCTTCAATGCGACATGTGTATTTTGCCATAATATCGGGACGGTCCTTATGATGCAAACAAGCCCAGTTAAAAGGCAATGAAGCGAATGCCAAAGATTATTACCAAATAAATAATATTAATGAAGATCTACCTGATAGAATGTAATTTTACGGAAACCTTCAGCTTCACATTGTGTACAGAAGTTGCCAGATGACTTGTAAAGCCCCTGTGTATTTATATACTCTGAATTAGAATTGGATGAAGATCTAGAGTTATATGAGTCATGTTTTATGATGCAATTGATTTTAAAATATAAATCTTGTGATAGGACATGACTATAGCCATTAGAATCTCATGATATTTTCTCCACAAGTAGAAAAAAGTTTGATTATGTTAATTTTAGAATCCCCATCTCAATATTCCTTTTAAGGAAATTGAAATAGGAAGGGCATCCTATGCACAACTTTGTCTTAAAGGCTTTAATTTGCATAAGTTTGTAGGCAATTAATTAACACTGAAGTTAGAATTAACTGATTAAGGTGATAATAATAGAAATCAGGGCAGATATATGATCCAAAAAGCCTAAACATAACTAGAAATTCTCAACATCAGAAGGGAATATATCACCTCCAAGGATGTATTTTTATGTGGATATATTTCTGTAACAATTTCCAAAGTGAACTTTCCATTGGGCGGTGAAGCAATAGTCAAGTGCCTCGAGTCCAAGTGAAATTCTTCCTCCTGGCAAGCAATTGAAGTATTGAACCAACCAAATTAGCAAGCGAGAGATTCTATGGAAAAATTATTAACTCCAGTGAGAATGTAAGTGTGCACACCTTCAACACATTTCCATTAACAAGTATGGAAAGCAGCTTCAGATCATGGCCATTCAAAACAAGGGGGGATGAACTGCCACCTGGTTAAGATAAATAAATTAATAAATACGGATCTCTGAAACCGTAATGAATCAACAATGTGGTATTTTAGCAGCATACTTTGGTTGCCCCAGCACTGCATCATGGTCAATATCAAGAAATAAAACTCAAAATATTACCTTCAACTCTGGGGAAGACAGCAATTTTAGAAGAGACAATTGTTTTATCCTCACCCAGTGAAAATTTCAAATCCACCTGAGCAACATTTGCAGATATGCATGAACTACTTGGAGGAACGGAGCAGTAATATGAATTATCATGAGTGTGTCATGTGCTATACCGCATCAAAGAAATAGTCAGGCTGCTTGTAATCCTTGAGAAAGATTTCTTTTGGTCCCTCCATCTTAGATTCTTCACCTTTCTTAGTTGCTGACTCAGTTGCAATAGAACAGATCAATCTCTGATTGGATGTCCTTTGCTTCTATACTCAGTAAAAAAACACAACAATAATGTAGGTGAGGATAGGAAAGAAACTGCTGGAGGCCAGGGATAACAAAAAATGGCATCAATAAAAGCTCACTGGAAATGACGAGTAGGGAAAACGACTCTTCCTCCAATCTGTAACCTGGTTGGGAAAAATGGAAAAGGGTGTTGATAGTTCAAATATTACACATATCACAAAATGAAAAAAAATGTTGATAGTTCAAATATTGCATAAGCTAATGCAATAAAAGAGGGTGAACCTTAGGAGCAAAGAATTGTCTATGCCTACTGATATTCCTCGCCGAGAGCCCAACTTGACTAAAACGACAAACCTGGAACTGTATTATAAAAATGAAGAAGAAAAAAATCACTCAGATAAGCTTTTTAAGGTTGGCAAGTGCCGCAACTATAATGGAATGGTGAATTAACAATATAAAGAAGCAAATAAACAAACAAGCCAAAAGATGGGATAAAATCCGTAACCCCAACTCGATGTTACTTATTAGTAAAATGTTCATATCCACCAAAGACTGGAAACTAGTTAGCTGCAATAATTGACATGAAAATATTCCTAATTTGTATATAGAATGTCTTCCAAGTAAAATACAATCCCTCACTAGAACATTGCACCTCTGCATTCTAGATTCTTATTATTTTGAATTCCTTAAACAGTTTTCCATAAAATTCAAGCAGATACGGGAAACAGCAAACAAAATGTAGAATCAAAAAAAAGGAAACAGATAATCACAGGAGCAGAGGAGATCAAACCGAAGAGACACGTCTTAGACAAAGCTGAAACCTTGTAGGGCATAACCAAGTGTGCCATCGTCCGCCCTCTCTACTCCTAAGTAAATAGTATACACTACTATATCAACAATGGCAACAATCAGTCACGCCTAAGTAGGACCCTTCTTCAAAGTTAAAACTCCACAGGCAATGCTAAACCCCTCAAAAAAATCATGAACGCCAAGAATTCCACACAAAATAACCCATAAATTATGCACTCACTAACAGGTTAAAACCCAGTATCAAGAATAACGAAAGTAAAAAAAACGCAAAGATTTACCAATCAATGCGGAATCCCTTTGAAAATCAATCGCAAAGAAACTAAACGAAGAACATAAATAACCTACGAGCTCTGCCCATCATGGCGATCAAATCAAAACATCAAAAACGATGGCGATGAATCATGAATGCATTGAGAAATGAGGATGAGAGTTACCTTTGCCGCTAGTATGACAGGTCTTGAAGATGAAGGTTTTTGGGGAAACTGAGAAGTGTTATCTGATAATCATGAATTTGAGAGTTTCACTCACATTACCCAATTTCGATCCGTTTGAAAGCTCTAGTCTTTGGGCTTACGCTTAGCGCCTCGGAGTCGGGATAGTTTTTCCAAATGAAATTGAAGCCCAATTGTTATGGTTGGATTTGAAATTGTTTTAGGAGACATGAAATTGTTTTCCAAAATTAAACTTGGAGGGTATTTGCCATGTTTTTAAGAATTTAGTTTCACTTTTGGGTGTTAGTCATTTTAAGTTGTTTGATAAGTCTACTACTTTTTACAATCATTTTATACATAAAACACCATTTCAAATTAGGAGGGTGTTTGGTACTACGGTAGATTCTTAAAAATATATAAGTCGAATACAGAAGCTAAAAGCATATAATCTCAACTTTGTCAAAAAGTACTTTTGGAGCTTATTTCTACTCTATAGTCATACACCATAAGCAAACTTAGATTTATCAAACACACAAAATTACTTTTGAACAAAGTAGAAGCTTAAAAGCTACTCTCTAACACAGTACCAAACACTATATATATATATATATATATATATATATATATATATATATATATATATATATATATATATATATGTTGATTTTACTTTTAGTCTTTGTGAAAAATTATTTTAATCACAAGTTAATTACTCTTAAATATCTTTCCTCTTTTACTTTGTAACTTTGTGTTTCTTAAAAGGAAGAAATTTAATAAGAATTCTTTATGATATATGTTTTATGAGCATATAAACAAATAATACATATTTCAAAGTTATAAAACAAATCGAAAGATTGTTTATTTGAAATACTGTATTTTAAGTGTTAATGTATTTACAAGATAAAGAGAACAAAATAGTGAGAATAATATTGCCATCGACCACCATAAGACCGAGCGGTGTAGTGTAGTAGGTGTGGAGTAGTAGGGATGGACAGGGGAAGGTCGTGTCAGCAAAGGGCTAGAGGGAACACTGTCATCCTCATAAATGATGAGGATAGACGAGCTTCTCAAATCTTTCATCCTGTCCGTTTCTCTCCCACACTTTTTCTTTGTTTTGCTCCTTCTTCCATTCTTCTCCCTTCTTCTAAAAATGAACGAAAATGAGAAAATAATGGGTTCCCAGTGGTGTGAAAATGGATAGTAATGTCCCCTTCTTCATCGATGAATGGTCAAAAAATAATCAAATTGAATATGTGTACAATATTTCAGAAAAAATTGAAAAAACGAGTTAATGATACATATTTTTCAAATCACATATTCACAAAACTATTTTCCCCCTTTTTTATTTCAAAAATATCATGACAATATATAAGACTTAAACCTAATTGGTTCGAATGAAAAAAAATTGGTAAAATCCACTCTATTTTCGCACTTCACACCCACCATACTATAATATCATAGCATGCTATTGTGAAATTTGATGCAATAAGTGATAGTTTGTACCATCATCGTCAAGTAATGTTTGAGATACACTAAATTGTACCCTAAGTTGTACACCACGTACTCTCCTCCCTCGCATACATTTCTGATCCTAGATCTAAAAATTTTATTTTGGATAAGAAATGTGTTGTGAAAGAAGAATAATGTAAAGCCCGAGGCACCCCAATCCAAATAATTTTTATCATCTTCACTACCACTAGTGATTGCCACCATGCACCACCCACCACCCACCTCATCCATTAGGCCATGTGTTATGAAGCGTGGGGAGGAACTGGACCACCCTCAATCACGCCCCTTTATTACCATTACAGAGCAACAGTGATGGGCGTGGCACCTTTTGAAGGGATGGCCATCACGACCATTTTAGCTCTTTTCTTTTTCTTTTTTTTATTCTAACCAATCAAATTTTAAGATACTTTCATCTCAACCAATTAAAGTAATTCACACTTTTACACTTCATCACTTCCCTTATCACACACTATAATGCATATATTTTTATCATTCCACATCATACTCGTTTGCATATATCAAGCCTGTCAAGCCTGCTCATAACACATGGTCTTAGTGGTGCTTCCACCGCAAAAACTTCAACCATAAACCATTGCATATTTGCATTAAAAAAAATTTAAAAAATGTTTATTTTCATTAAGTAATACTCCGTTAATAACACTAGTAGTAATAATAATACATTAATACTCCGTAGTGATAATAACAAGAAGTCAAGAACAACAAGCTAAGGGTGCTCGACTTTAATTTGGAAGTAATTATTGGGCGGGCGGAAATGAGTACAAGGATATGATATGATGATGCTCCATATATAATTTGAAAAGATATTTGAGGGAAATAAAAGAACAGAGGGAAATGCATAAATATATTGGAGCAATACTATGTTGGTGTTAATGAAACAAGGAGTAGTTGGATAATTGAATCATTGTTGGCGACCAAGTCATACATACAATGCTACGTGACAAATGACCAGCTTCATTAATCATATACATTGTACTCACTCCGTAATAATTCGGTATGTAGTATGTGTGTATATACTCTCTCCCTTCCACAAAACCCTTCCCCTTTCGTTTTTTTTGAATTCCCTAAAACACTTCCACTTTCTATTAAAAAACCACTTTTACCCTTACTTTTTCATACCATACCTATCACATCATACTTTTTCTCTAATAACCAAACTATCACATCTTACTTTTACCCATCACATCAGGGGCAAAATTGGAAAGTCAACCAAAATTATACTTTCCTTATTTTTGCCAAAAGTCAAAAGTGGAAGGGTTTATAGGAACGGAGGGAGTATATATTAGAGCACTCGAAATACCCGTGAAGCTCCGGAGCTTCAAATCGGGGCTTCAAAATTTCTCTCTCTGCCACGTCAGCTTTAACTCCTCATAGATTCAGTGAAAATGAGTTTGAATCCTCGGGGCTTCAAACAGGGGTTTCAAACCTTCATTTTTTACATTTTTAAATATACATCTTCTAAATTTAAAGTAATAAATTTAATCAATTTATTATTTAATTATATTGAAACAAGAATAATTAAAAAAATTACATTCATTAAATTTAATGAAATTGAAGCGACAATAATTTAAAAAATTACATTCATTAAATTAAAAAAAGAAATCGACAATAATAAAAAAGATACTCTAATAAAAATACTAAGGTAAATTATATTTGGCCTTTATCTCTTTTTGTCTTCTCTCAAGATCGTCGGGGAAGAAGCCGGAGCCGGAAAGATTCATGTTGAAAAGAAAGTTGGAGAATTGAAGAAGATGTGAAGAAGATTGATGAGAATTGGAGATTGAAAGGTGTAGGAATCGGAGGAGATGAAGTTTGAAATTTATAAAAAAATAATTAATTTTTTCTTTTTTTTGCTTCCAAACGCTAATTTAGTTGTTATATGGAAGGGGAAGTTGCGTCAAACGTATAACGCAGGAGACTTAACACCACGATGAAGCCCCATGGGGGCGGTATTTAACGCCCCTGGGCGGTATTTAACGCCCCTGGGCGTTAAAGTAGCTGTAACGCCCCATGGCGTTAGGAGTATTTCCCTTGCCCTTACTGGTGTCATTTTAGACTTACCGTGTGTGTGTGTGTGTGTGTATATATATATATATATATATATATAGACACACGCGCGCCACACACACATATCCCTTTTGTTCATCATAATTCATACTTTTTAATTATTAGCATTTGCTAAATAATATAATGGTAAAAAAAATCAATTTAAGATAGATTCAATAGGTCTCGACCTATAATATTACTTCAGTCGTTCTAAAAAAGATCATTTAATTTGTTACTGTTTACAGACCAAACTAACTCTATATATACTTTTATACATTTTCAACGATCATTTGGTGAAATAAAATAATTTTTCCACTGCTTATTTTAATAAAAAATAAAATCAATAAGATGTTAACTTAATTATGTACTTTCAATTTTTTCTTTAGATTTAAATCCAATCGAGTAGTTATAATTTTAATTAGTTTTTTTCTAGTATGCATTTTTTTGCTCTTTCTATCCCCTTTGATATGTTAATAATTGTGCTTTTATAATTCGGCTTGTTTTTTATCACATTATGTCAATGTAATTTTAATTTTAATATTAATGAAATATTTATTTAATGTATTTATTTTAAGTAATTTTGATTTAAATAAATGAAATAAAAAATTGGGTCTGGCACTCTGGCGTGATCTACACTCTTGTTCAGTAATTAGCTATGATGGAAAGAGAAAAATTAATATGACGCTGAATGACATGACGTGATAGGTGTGATGGGCTGATGGCGTGATCCACATTTAGGTCATGTGTTATAGCGGTCTTGACGGGGTTTGATGGGGTGTAAAGATATATGATGTGGAGTGATGTAAATTATTTTAATATGTGTTATAGTGAGTATGACGAAAAGTGATAAGATATGAATATGTGTTAAATTTTGATTGGTTAAAAAAAAGAGGGAGAGAAGGGGCAACCACTCTGATGTGGGTGACGGGAAGAGGGGCAACGCCCCATTCACTTGAAACCGGCGCTGTGCAAGGGCTTGAAGGAGGCGTGAGGGAGGTACTGACGCCCCCCTCAAGCCGCAGAACGTACGGCCTTAAAAATATAACATCATAATCTTAGAACTTGCTGACCAAAGACCCAAGGAGGGAACCTAAATCTATTTGATAATACAATTGAGTGCTGTGGGGATATCAATCTGATTCATTTTATCGGGCCTAATCGGAATTGAATCACCCGATGCATTACCAGTTTACAACTTACCAATGAAAAACAAGCGGAAAATGCTAGAGTCACAAACGTATAGTTCACAAACTTCACAAACTTGCCTTTTGTGGATTTTAAATTAAAATATCTTTTATTATTTGAGTGCATCTTATTTCTAGGGAAGTGTTAAAAAAGCAAGTTTGTAAATTTTGTGAACTGTTTGTTTGTGACTATAACATTACTCAAAACAAGCATAATATTTCCTTTTGATTGTTTGACTTGGCATGGGAGGAGGTATTGTAAATATTTTGTCGTCTTTTACGTCATTTATGATTTATTATGGTATA